TATCGGTGAAAGGTTCTCTCAACAGAAGGTGTTTTTATTTCACATCTTTGTTTGAAGGATATTTTTTCTGGATTTAGAATTCTAGACTGAGAAATTACTTTTTTTTGTTTAAAAATGTCTTCTAGCTTAAGTTGTTTCTGATGGAAAGTTAGAGATCATTCTGATTGTTATTCTTCTATATTTAATATATCTTTTTTCTCTGGATGCTTTTAAATATTTCTTGGATTACTAGTTTTTAGCAATTTTATTGTTTGTGTTTATCCTGTTTGAGATTCATTCAGCTTCTTGGATTGTGAGTATATATATGTTTTTCATCAAATTTGGAAATTTTTCAGTCAAGATTTCTTCAAGTATTTTTCTTTTTTAATCTTTCTTTTCTCTTCTCTTGAGACTTTTCATTACATAGATGTTAGGTAATTGATCACGTTTACAGATCAACAGAAGCTCTGTTCATTTTTTTCAGCCTTGTTTTCACTCTGTGCTTCAGTTTGGATAGAGTCTATTGCCCCCTCTTCAAGTTCACTGATCTTCTCTTCTGCTGTGTCTAATCTGCTTAATTAGAAAAATCCCTTAAGTAAACTTTTTACTTCAGTTATCATATTTTTCATCTAAGTTTCATTGGGTTCCTTTCATAATTTTTATTTTTCTCTTCATTATTTTTCATCTTCCCTGTCATTTCTGTATGTTTCTGTTAACTGGTTTTTCTCTTGATTACTGGTCACATTTTCCTGTGTTGCCTGGAAAATAATTGTTTCTTCCGTGCTGCACCCTGGGAATGCTGTGTTGTTAACTTGATTTTGTCTTCCTTTGAAAAGAGTTTTGTTCTGGCAGGTAGTTAATTACTTACAGATCAACTCAATACTTCAAAAGCTGGTTTTTAAGCTGTGTTAAGGCAGGTTTAGAAGAGTTCTTATTCTGGGATTAGAGCAGCTCTTCTAAGGCATGACCTTTCTGGGTCTTAGCTGAATGCCTGAAAGTACTGAGCAAGGTCTCTCCTCTCTGGCAGGGGGGAACTCCAAATATCTCCTACTCTTGTGTGACTTTTGAATCTTCAGTCACTTCACAGCCCCACAGCTCCCACCCCCCATTAGCTATTTTTTGCTAGACTTTCCAGAGACTCACTCTGCACAAATACAGTTTGGTATTCAGCCAGATTACAAGGGGACCCATCTGCACATTTCTGGAGTTCTTTTTTGTTGCACAATTCTCTCTCCTTTGTGATTTTGCCCTGCAAATTCTTGCCACCTCAAAAGCCCTGAACTCAGATCACTGTCTCCTTTGTTCACTGAGATGTTTGGGCTCCACCTCTCTCAGCCCTGGTCCAGAGGGGCTCCCCAGGCAGAGAGCTAGTGTGACCAGGGGGCTCACATCATGTCTTCTCTCCTGAATCACAGTTCTGCACCACCTTTGTCCAGCTTTCTAGTTGAATATGCCAGGAGGCTGGTCCTGTACCAGTTACTCCATCATGGCCAGAAATGTGAGTTCTCCAATTCTCTTTCTAAGATGAAGATCCGCAAGGAGAGGTTCCCAGGCTGACTCCTCTTGCATCCATCTCTCATTCATCCCTACCACCAGCCTTTAAGCACGTGATTCTATTTGCCTCCAGTGCAAAGTTTCAGGGAAACCCCCAGTCACTCCACTTCCTTGGTTGTGTGATGACTTTTCTTGAATCCTTGCATTCTCTACATTTTTTTGCTCCAGTTAAATTTTCAGCTTTCTGGAAAGGAGACTGCAGTGCTCTGTTATTTTTTAGCTATCTCTTGTGTGTAGATATCACCTGTGTGTTTCTTACAGGGGAAGTCAGCCAGTCTGTTTGAGACTCTTTCATTCTTTCGCAGGAGGAGCTCAGGTAGGAATTCCAGCATGACATTGTTCCCTGTGAGGTCAACAGAGGGAGCACACTGTTGAGTAGAATGAGTCAGGATCCTGGGACATTGATCCTGGCCCAACCCAACCCACACTGTGACCCAGAAGTGATAGCCATACCTCTCTGAGCCTTAGTAGCCCGATCTGTGTTACACCCATGGGACCACTGGGAGGGTAACATGTCACTGTTATGTGCCGTCATTGGGATCCCATCTTCAATGTGCTCTTCTTCAGCAGTTCTGACTAACTTTTCTGGCCTCATGCATTGATACACAGATTCCATAGTGTCTCTTGAGCACTGTGTTTCAGGGAATGCACCAGACACTCTGCATGGTGGGCTAGGCTGGCAGAGTTCCTGCCATCTGGGAGTATACATGCTAATGGGGAGAGAGCCATTGACCAGAGGTCATACCCTGTGTCATTATTGTTGGTGATCAGTCCTTGGAAGGGAAGATGAGAGGGCAATGACAGATAAATGGTCCCAGGTAGGGAGGTTTGGGGGAGGCGGACTCCCTAAGGAAGAAATCTTTAAGTGTAGTATGTAGGACCAAGAGTCAAAAGTTTGAGGGCAGAAGGAATGGCATGCACAAAATCCATGAGCTTGAAAAAGAAAGGATATTATAGGATATGAGAAGGCGAGGAGCTCAGAGGCCTATGAGGAAGCTGGAGAGGGGAGCGGGTCCCAGGCAGGGTGGTCGGAGCACACAGGTGATACCCTCAGGCCTATTATACCATGTACTTTAAGCACGTTCCTGAGCTCCCTGCCACAGGGAAAGAGGAGGATCTCTCCCCCAGAATGCCAGGATCTTTACAGCCTGAATTGTAGACTCTGTAGAGGGCTGATCCAGAGGAGCTCCTCGCGTCATTCTGCAGGGATGGAGCTCGAGGCCTCAGAGGGAAAGCAGCTTGATCAGGCTGTTGCTGAGAAACTCTCTATTCCTGTGTGGGTCACTGCCGTGGAGTGGAGAGGAGCACACGGCTTTGTGCCAAAGGCATCTTTGCGCAGCCGGCAGACTTGAGCCCCATCTCATCTCGGTACTAACTTTGTGTGTGGTCATGAACAAACTTATTATGTCTGTGGCCAGAATAAGCCTTTGGGCCTTGAGGTTTTTTTAATCTCTGAAAAATACCCGTAATAGCTGCTTACATTTGAAGAGCAGTTTATCATTCAGGATGCTTCTGAGACTTTCTTGGATTCCCACAAAGTCCCCGAGAGGCTGGACATGCAGAGAGGGTCATCCCAGTGCTGGTGAAGGGGAGGCGGGGAAAAAAAGGCTGAGAGAGGGGAGGTACAGACTCCAAGATTGCTGAGGCGAGGGGTTACAGAGCTGGGCTTCACAGGTGGATCTGCCTCACTCCAGACTCACAGCTGGTCTGTTACAGTGAATCACCAGCTTTAGTCCCCAAACTACACCTCGCACAAGAAGCCAGCAGAGATGTTAGAAATGGACTCCAGGTGCCTGTTGGAACATTGAATGTGTAGGTTCATTCTGTGGCTTAAAAAAAAAAAAAAAAATTGGAAACTATGAGACAAGCAATCCCCCGGTGGGACTCGGGGGCCTCTGAGGCCCTTTGCTCAGAAAGAGGGACCGAGAGTGAGAGAAGGTGTACCAGTGTCCTTTGCCACCCTGACCTCTGAGTTCCTGATTCAGAAAGGGAGAGTCGGAGAGTGGCAGCTCTCAGGTACAAGGGACACAAGTGTTCTCCGCAGACTGAGACCTTGAGATTTCTTTCTGGGGCTGGGGTGGGCAGATGCAGGCTTGTTTAGGTGGTGCATGACTAAAGAATTTGCCTGCACCCGGCATCTGGCCACCACTGTGGGCAAGGAGTGGGTGACCCTCCACAGGGGAGAATGGGCAGCCTGGGTCCCTAGAGCTCACCTCATGCACTAGCATAGTAAACGAAGGACCATAAAGTGGCCTCTCCTTCCTGCCACTCAGTTCCTCTGTGACCTTGGCCCTGCATCCTGCTTCTTTGGGCCCGAGCTTCGCCATCTGTGCCAGGAATGAGCAGAGGTGGCAGGCCAGGGGGCCCTTTAATTCGTGCTCTGCAAACAGTACCCAGGATGGACGTAGGAGCAGGGAGGTGATGGGGCCCATCTCTACCTGCAGGGGCCTGGGGAGCAGCAGCCAGGTCCTTCTCTAGGTGGGTAAGGGCTGTGGCCAGGCACTGAGTCAAGACAGTACCCTCTGGTGTTACTCATTCTTGGGGGTTCTGTGAGCCTCTGGTCAGCACCAAAGGGCCCCCTTCCTCTTGCTGCCTAGCCCGCTTCCTGCCCTCAGGGAGAGTTGCGGATATTGCCTGATCTCTGAATGAGAAGACCACTACCTCCTCCTCTTTCGTTTTTATGGTTGGAGTGTGGCCAGGGTTGGGGTGGGCCACCACTGGTAAGGGTTCAGGGCAGGGTGCAGGAGGCCAACTCATGCTAACCCAAGACCATCAGGTGGAAACCACTTGAGAGTCAGCCCCTGGTTCTCAGTGACTCCGGCTTCTACGGAATTTGCAGGTGAGGGAGACAGGGGGCCTGGGTAATGGTGATGCAGGGTTCCCCAGACAGCATCCAGGAACTGCTACACTTATTTCGATGAAAGCTTCAGGCATTGGGTCGATCGGTGTCCCCTGAGAGCAACAGTTCCCAGTCAGTGCCCGCAAGGCACCACAGAGCCCCTTGCCCTAAAACCCTGGGGGCACCATGAAGCCCCTCTGCTTCCTCCCAGCCCCCATCAGCCCCAGCACATCCCTGCCTGTCTGCTTCCTATTGTAACTTCCAAGCCAGCCTTCCTTTAGGAAAAGGAGCTTAGAAACCAACATTCTAGAAGATGCACTTGGGCCTGGGTTAACTAATTCAGATGCCCTAAGAGTCCAGAGACCGGGCCAGTCAATCAAGGGTTATGGGTGACCTACACAGTGGGCTGCTTGGTGGCCTCCAGATGACAAAGCGTGAACTGACAGAAGGTTCCAGACTGCTGGACTTTCTCTGGCTCTGAGTTAAGTGAGAATCCTTGTTCCCTGTGGCACAAGAAGAGGTTGGGCAGAGACAGTCCCAACTCTGGAATGTGGGGCCAGTGGCCCGAGAGGCCACTCACTCCGCCGGCTGGGAGGGCCCTCGGGGACTGAGAGCATGACCCTCTCAGGTACTGCCCCCGGGTGGGAGCCGCCGGACGATCCAGACACGGGCTCTGAGTGTTCACATCCAGAGGTCTCCCCGTCTCCACGCTTCGTGGCAGCGAAGACCCAGACGAACCAGTCGGGAAAAAAAGCGCCGGCTTCCGTGGTCCGATGTGCCACCCTCTTACACCGCACCCCTCCAGCCACCCAAACCCAGACGTTCCGCACTCCAAATTCGGGATCTCCAGCGAGCAAGGCGACCGCAGGTACCAACGGCCTATGTGACCCCCACACTTTCTCCACCCCTGCCCTTCTCACCACCTGCCACAGCTGTGCCTGGGGTGATTGTTCCCTTGAAAGAGCAAGAGTGGCAGTCTCATAGTGATCTGGGACAAATCTGGGTCCCAGCTCTGCCTCTGGCTGGCTCTGTGACCATGGCAAGCCACCTAACCTTTCTGAGCCAAGTCTTCTCACCCTAAATCAGAGAGTTGTACAAGGGGTTTGTAAGCTTTTTTTTAGTAGAATATTTTTTCCCAAATCATGGCTTAAAGGGCCTGTTTTATTTGACATTCAAGGGTTTAAAAATTTTTTTAGTTGGCCGGGTGCCATGGCTCACGCCTGTAATCCCAATACTTTGGGAGACTGAGTTGGGCGCTCACCTGAGATCAGGAGTTCAAGACCACCCTGGGTAACATGGTGAAACCCTGTCTTTACTAAAATACAAAAAATTAGCCAGGTGTGGTGGCATGAACCTGTAGTCACAGCTACTTGGGAGGCTGAGGCACGAGAATTGCTTGAGCCCTGGAGGCGGAGGCTGCAGTGAGCCAAGATCATGCCACTGCATTCCAGCTTGGGCTACAGAGTGAGATCCCATCTCAAAAAAAAGAAAATTTAGTTAATTGCCACCATTTGTATGTCAGATTTTATGTAAAACTTTTGATTTCTACCTGACATTGAAAAGTCAGATCTGGCAGTCCTGGACCCACTTCCCTACAGGGCAACAATTGCCTGCCTCCTTGAGTAGAGCCACTTTTCCACAATCCCCACCATTCCCTACTGCCTCCCCACACAACGGCCATGTGGCAGGTGTCATTTCTCATTGTGGTCGCACTGTCGTTTGTCTTATGTCCAACCCCGTTCATCTGTTTATACTGTCTGCCTGGACCCTGTTGGCATGAGTGCATCTCCCACCTTTCAGAAAACGTAACTTAAAAAATAAAAATTAAAAACTAATTTCAACAAGGATCTGCTCTCTACACAGCAGGATAAGCCGGACGGTTGACCGAGTTCTCTGGTCTCTTGCCCTCCCGCTTTGTACCACTACCCGTGAAACTCTTCCATGAGATACAGGCCCAGCAGGAAACCAGTGGATGCCACCATGTCCTATGTTCACACTGCAAAGGACTCTGGCTCCAGAGGGGTAAACAGACAGTAAAAAGTGCCGAGCAGTTATTTCCTCCAGGAAAATTGGCCAGACACACTGTGTGCTGATCAGGTATTCTTAGATTCACAGTGGGGTGGAGCCAGCACTGGGTCACCTGCCTGGACATGTGACTTGTAGAGCAGAGTGAGGATATGGTGCTTCGGGACCGTGGGCTCTTTAGTTGTCCTCAGGAGACCAAAGCCATTTCTTAAATAAATAGGTGATTAAGGTGAGGACTCTGGTAAAGGAACCACTTGGTTCTTTCCATGACTGACGACCCAGCTGAGTGATTAAGCCATGCTTAACTTTGCTCCTTAGTTCAGGAGACTAATTTTGGGCGAGGGTCTGGTTCTTTGAAGATATGTTTGTTGTGCTTAGATCTCCCAGAAGGAGAGTAGTTAATCAACCTTGAAGCTAATGGTTTTTCAGGCACCATGTTGAGAAAAGCCAATAACCATTGTATTTTTCAATAGTAGCATAAACTAGTTAGAAGCGTGTTGGTCATCACGGTCTCACTGGTGATAGATGTCGGCTCCACTAAATAATGGAATCATGCCTTTCAAATCTTGCTTTCACTCTTGCACTTCGTGGCTGGGAGTTTTTATGCCTGCAGTTTCTGCAGAGGGCAGCCCGCAGGGCGTGGTATGTGGCCGGTCTCCAGCCTCAGTGTCTCTGAGTAGGCATTCAGCCAGCTATGGGACAGGCCTCAGGCTGCCTTCATGGGCCTCAGAAGACTTGTGGGTGGTGGGGGTCACCTCTGGATTCACCAGCTGGGTGGGCCAGAGGGCATCCAGTTGGGAGCAGGAGCCTGCATGGGATGTAAGATAGTGTGTGTTTGAGGAAGACACTGTCAGTCACGTCTTCATTCTGGAATAAGTGACCCTTCGTGTGTGGATGGGCCTGCCCCTGTGTGGGATTTCACCTCTGGCGGTGCACATTTCAGCCAGAGGTGCCTGTAGCAAGGAAAGCTGCCCAAGATGTGCACTGTCAGCTGAGCGGTGCAACAGTTTGCAGCCTCAGCTGTGCTAAGTTCTACCAGCATGCCGGTCAGAAGTCCTCCGAAGTACCGGTCACCCGGCGTACACAAGGATGAAGATGGAGAAGGCAGTCACTTCTCTACCTCAGACCTTTTTAAAAAGGAAGCACCTGCCTCCTCAGGGAAGTCTTATTCTGCCATGTTGGGGCGTTAGGAGCACATCCAGCCCCAGAACTTGACAATCCCTCTCTTTCCTCTGTTTTTTCACCTGTGAAATGGGAATGACAGTGCAGCCCTCTCAGAGCTCTCAGGAGAATTAGAGGGAGCATGGATGTAAAGCATCTGGACCAGTGCCTGCTACGTAGGAGGTGCTCAGTGAATGAGAGCCCCTCCCCTTTCCCTAGACAGAGAACAGAGAGGCCTTCTGTACCAGTTTGCAGATGCTTGCTGAGGCTCTCAGCCCAGGCATTTTACAGACATCTTTTGAAGGGAGGGTGGTCTTTGTAACGCTAGCATCCTCTGCAGGAAGGATCCTGTGTCGGGAGGCATTGTTACAGTGGGATGACGGGGGTCGGGGAGGTGGGAATTGGGCAGGGCCTGCAAGTGCTGCCTCTGGCTTCCTTTCCCATCTTCCCCATGGACATCCACACCCTTGATGCCCACAAACTAAGCACCTGCCCCTCCAGAGCAGGGCGGACCAGATGAGAGTGACATTGGGAACCCCTCTTACGTTTGGAGAAGGCGAGGTTAAGTCAAGCTAAATGGGTCTCTTTCCAGTCAGACTTCTCAGAGACTTTGACCTCTTTGGGCAAGTTGTTTCTCCTTAAGAAATGGACTGGGTCAACTGCACATCCCAAATTGACTTGCTCCCTGAGGTCTTAATCTCCTGGATCATCTGGCATCGTCCTCATGCCCAGAGCGCCTGGGAAAAGCTGGGCTGTCTCCCAGCTCAGATCATCTGTTTCAGTACCTTCTGCAGGTGGAGGTGGGGGTGGGGACTACATTCACGGTTTTCCACCTGTTTGGACCCTATCTCTGCATTGCGGGGTTTCCAGGGATCACCTGGGAGAGCTCGGGCCACTCAGAAAGATGGCAGCCTGTAAACAGAGACACTCCAGGTGTCATTCAGGAGGAACCCGTCTCTTCTGCTGGGTGAACGCTGAGCAGATCTTGCCTGGTTTTGGCCTCTGGGGGTTAGGGTTGCCCCAGCTCTCCCTGTCGTGCCCGCTGTTGCAGGATGTCCTCCCTGTCACCAGGGACTATCCAGCTGATGGAAGTGGAATCAGAAAACAGGCTGTCATGATCCCTGCGCTTTGGTGGGGCCTATGGCAGCAGAATCTGACAGAGGAAGTGGTGACAGATCCAGTGACTTGGTGTCACAAGTGTGGCTCTCCAGGAGCCAAAGATGGGAGACTCAAGCCCATTTGCCATCTGCTCTCTGGCTGGATTTCATCTGTGTGTTTTTAGGCATGTCCCCCCCCCCCCCATTCTGTGCCTGGGCCTCCTGGGCACTGCCAGGAGGGTCTCTTGGGGCCCTGGCAAGGTGTTAGGCTACTCAGAGGGGCCCAGGGAGGTCTGGCTTGGGGTCTTAGAGCCCCCACTAGAGCTGGTTGCCCCAGCAGAGAGTCCTTGGCCTTCACCCAGCCTGCCCCTCCATTGAGACCTAGTGCTGACCAATCACCATTGTTCCCTTTGTCTCTCCTGTCCCCTACCCAGCAGAAAGCGCTTTCAGTCGGAGAGTAGAAGGCAAAGCACAAAACCACTTTGAAGAGACGAACAGCAGTTCGCAGAACTCCAGTGGTGAGTGTGCCCCTTGACAGCCATCCTGTGCAGCAGCTGCCAGCTTCACCCGCTCCCCCTTGGCAGCTGCAGAAGCACCCGGTGGACTGGGGTCTTTGTGGTGCATGATGGATCTTGTTGGGAGGAAGCTGGGAGCAGGGAATCAGAGGGGGACCACAGAGACAGGAGGGGCCTTTTCTTCCAGGGACATTCCTCTGAGTCTTGGGCATCGATGGGCAGTGCCTCCTCTCTGTCTCCCTCATGGAGAGGGCAGCACCCCTCTCCATAGCCTGCAGCATTAACTCAGCCAATCCCAGGTGACTGGGCCTGAGAGAGCCACTGCTGTGTTTTTAGGGTAGACATCTCAGCCAGTTTCTTTACAGGAGAAGCAAGGAAGTACAGTAGGAAGAGCTTTAAAAGGCTGGGCGCCAGGTCTCATGCCTGTAATCTCAGCATTTTGTGGGGGCCGAGGCGGGTGGATCACTTGAGGTCAGGAGTTTGAGATCAATCTGGCCAACATGATGAAACCCTCTCTCTACTAAAAATACAGTAGCTATAATCCCATCTACTCAAGAGGCTGAGGCAGGAGAATCGCTTGAACCCAGGACAGGAGGTTGGAGTGAGCCAAGATCGCACCACTGCACTCCAGCTTGGGTGACGGAGCGAGACTCTTGTCTAAAAGGAAAAAAAAAAATAGAGCTCTGAGAGCCAGAGGCCCCAAGTTCTGGCCTAATTTTGGCCCTGGAGCCATTGGAACTGAGATTCCCTTCTAGCCCCTACCTGCTCAAGTGGGTTTAAAGTGAGGTTCCCAGTGGTATCTGGCGCCCCCTGATGGCTGCCTCGTGCAGGACCGTGACAGAGACCCAGAGCGTTCAGAGCAACCCCCGAGGGGCTTCTCCCACCAGACCCAGGGTCAGCCACAGACCGGGCACTGCCTGGGTGTGCACAGGCGAAGACACAACACAACCATAGGGACCCTATGAGACAGCCAGGAGGCCAGACTCGAGTGTGGAGGCATCTGCCTAGTAATGGGAGCCCCACTTTGGGCTCGTACTCAGTGTGAACCCCAGCTCCACCACTTACTAGCTGGTGACTTTGGCTAGTCTCCGAATCCCTCCTCTGCTGTAAAGTGGTTGACGAACACGCATAGCCCTGTGGCGGTTGTGAACACTCAGAGTGCCTGGCACAGATTACGTACTCAGCTGTCAGGGTTTTTTGGTGGTGTTAGTTGGTTATTTTTCTATTTTAAGTAAACCAAGTGATTTGATGGCTGCTCTGCGGAAGGGAATGAGGTTTTGAACAGTGTAATCCACACAACCTCTCCAAGAGGTAGACCCAAAAGACAGGGAGGGAGTGATTTGCCCAAGGCCACACGGGAATAAGTAGCAGCGCCCGGCTGGTACCAAGGTTTCCGGGTGTGCCCTGTGCTCCCCAGCCAAGCCGTGCTGTACCACCTGTGTATCCCCTGCCCCCAGAGCTAACCAGTCAGGAACAATAGTGCGAGACCTGTTGCTGCTGCTGTTGGCAGCCGCCGCTTATTGAGCGCTTACTGTGTGCCTGGCATGTGTTCAGAGCTTTATATGTCTTATCTGTCTTCCTCCTTACCACAGCCCATGGGGGTCAATGTTACTGTTATCCTCACTTTTTGGAGTGGGAAACTGAGGCTCAGGAGAGGTGGATTGGTGCCCTGGGTCCCCCAGATTATAAGTGGTGGAGCCAGGATTCCCCGTCTAGTCCATCTGGCCCCGCTGTGGTGCCTGCTGCGTTTGAGGCTTGCCAGCCGTGAGTAGTGCCAGGAAGTGGAGGAGAGTTGCCAGCCAGCGGGAGCCCTCCAAAGCACAGCCGCTCGCGGTGGCTGCTCTGGTGTTTGGTACCAAACATCCCCACCCTGGTGCCAGAACCTAGAAGTAGCTTCCAGCTTCCTGTCCCAAAGTGAAGTGCCATGTGAGGATGTCTTCTTACCAGTACTCATGTGGCCTTGCTCTTTCAGAGTGAAGGGTGTCCCAGAGGAATGGCAGTGACTTGTCTTGCCCTGCCTGATGGCCCCGGCACCCACAGTAAACCTCGATCCTCTGAAAGGCATGGCCTCTGTGTCAAGCCTCCCCCTAACCCACCCCGGATTGTGAGCCTGCCTCTCAGATGCTCCCCGCTCCTCTGAAAGTCCCATCTGGCTCACTGGTTATTAAGAATAAAAATTACAGTGATCAGCACAGAACAGCAGAATGGGAAGAGATGGCTAAACTGTTTCTCTTTTGCAGAAACTGCAAGTCCCCTGATTTCCAACCCTTTCCCTCTCCTACAGAGTAAGTGATGGTCCCGGCCGGGGGGCTGGAGAGGGCAAGGCAGGGCAGGGAAGGAACTCAGCTGGCCACATGCTCCTGGAGCCTCCAGGCTGTGTGAGATGGGCCTTGGGCCGCCCTCCTGGGCAGACCCGGCAACTGTTGGAGGCAGGTCCAGGTTCAGCCTTGGGCTGGTGGAGCAGTTTGGATGGGGTGGGGCAGAGCCCTGACCAGCAGCTGCTTTGGCTCTGCTGCCCAGCCCTGGCAGGAGCTCAGGCCTTCCCATTCGCAATCATCAGGCAGCCTCAGGACACCTCTTCCAAGCCCCATCGCAGCCCTCCTTTTTTTTCTTTTCTGTGCTGTTCTTCCCACCTCACTTTCTTTTTCCTCTTCTTTCTTCCCTTCTCCCTCTTCTCCGTGAGTGCTAGGAGCAGAGAGCTAAGTGATCCGGGCCCCTATGCCCCTTGCGCCTATTCCCACGTGTGCCCTCTCTCACTCCTCCCTCCCTCTCCCTCCCTTTCCCCATCGGATCCCCACTTCCTCCTGCTTCTCTGTGGTTCTCTCCACTTCTTACCCCTTCCCTTCTTGCTTCCCTTACGTCTGTTATCTTGGTTTTTGTTTATTCACACACTCATTCATTTGTTCACTTGGCAAAAAGTGACCTCATGTGGTTCCACAGAGAGAGCTGGGCTGTGATGCCATGAGACTGGGTCTCTGCCCTGAGACGGCTGCTGGTCTGTTGATGTTGATGTTTTTCCCCTCCCCCCATCTCAAGTGTGCAGAACAGTGGCTGGCACGCAGTAAGCACTCAATAAATAGCTGCTCAGTTGAGCTAATGGTCTCTCTGCATGGCTTCCCTCTCCATCGTTCCTTCCCCAGCCTCTCCCTCATGAGTCCAGTGACAGGGGAGGCAGGCAGGCTGGGCCCAGAGCCCTGACCACAGAGACCCAGTGTGTGTTTGGGTTCCCACTTGCAAAGCTGCCTGCAGCCCAGCAGAAGGTGTCTGCATTGGCCCCGCCCCTCACGCAGCTGCCGTGTTTTTCCCTCCAGAACCCTATACCTGTGGCGCCTGTGGGATCCAGTTTCAGTTCTACAACAACCTGTTGGAACACATGCAATCCCATGCAGGTAAGGGGCCCAGCAGCCCACCAGGGATACGGCTCCTTTCCTGCTCCCCTTCCTCAGTTCCTGCAAATGGAAGAGCTGGCCAGAGCCTGACCCGAGGCCCCCAGGGAAGGCCACTGTTTCCTGGAAAATGGTCATAGGACATGGAAGGGGGCCCCAGTCAGTCAGTTATTAACACGGGCTGGTCTGTGCTCTGCACGCGGGGATGGTGGGGGGGCAGCACAGGCTCTGTGGAAACACGGAGAGGTGGGACAGAGTTGAAAAGACTTCCTGGAGGTGGTGGCCTCTTAGCTGGGCCTAAAGGCCAAGTAGGAGCTAGCCTGGAAGCAAAATGTCCAGGTGGAAATGGAACACGATTTGAGATCAAGGTGAGCAGAGGCAAAAGGTGGGGATGGCCAGACATGCAGCCCAAGGCAAGCTGGGCTTAAGGCCTGCCTCCGAGCAGAGTCTCATTCACTAACACCCTCTGTCCCATAATGCAGTTGCGCCCACACTTGAGCACACGTCAGAATCACCAGGAGGGCTTGCTAGACGCAGATTTCTAGGCTCCATTGTGAATTTCTGATTCTGTAGGTCTGCAGAGGAGGGGACTAGGATTTGCATTTCAGGTAAGTCTTAAGACAGTGCTAATGCTGCTGATTCAGGGACCATCCTTTGAGAATCACTGCTCTGGAGCTACAGGCTCAGTCATCTCTCTAGGCAGCCTTTTTATCACATTTCACAGCAGCATAACACGGGTCTCAGGGAGATACTGTTTGCTGGAATAAGTAATTCCAAATTCTCAGTGGTTAAACATACAAATCATTGTTTGTTTGTAATAGCTGTGTGGCTTCCACATGGTGATTCTGGGATCAAGGCTCTTTTTTTCCTTATAGCTTCATCCTCCTTTGGATCCTCAGAGTCCTCTCTCTTTGTGGGTAGGGAGAGGGGCTCTGGGGCAGGCACACTTCTTTACCATTTTAGACCACAAGTGACACCTGTAGATGCTCAAATTCCAGTATGGAGAATTAGTCACGTGACCAGCCTGAATCCATGGGCAGAAATATGCCCAGGTCCTTTGTCCCAGGACAGCTGGACACATTGCAAAGGGAAACATGAGTCTGGGGAGGCAGCTGATTGTCCCTCCACCCCTTTCCCCAGAGGAATTCTCTAGAATCATTAGAAATAATGGATGAGAAGTACCTGACATACAATGGGGGACAGAAATTGGTAGCTGCTATCATTTCACCTGTTACTGTTATTGTACAAATCTTTCATATCATCTCCCAGGTCTGACCTGACTAGCATAGAGTAGAGTATTATAGGACTAGAATCTCTTTTGGGCCAAGTACTGATCTATTAGTGTAATCTCTATCATTCATTCATTCATCCAACATATAGTAATTGGGTATCTGCTGTATACAAGGCACTAAATGGATGATCTTTTTGGGGGAGCCTGTTATTTATTTCTAATGAACTTAAAACCAGGACAGAGCTCTGGAGTGGCAGCCAAGGCACTGGCCTCTGAGACCTGCTCTAACTGGTGTGTCTTGGTGCTGTGTGACCTTCCACAGGAAGCTCTGCTTCTGTCTCTAAAGTGAGGGCCTGAAAATCCCCATCTCCAGCAGCCTTTCCCACACCATGCTTCCCACCTCCTGCTTTCCTCTGTCGTCAGCTGTGCCTCACCAGGGAAGGCCTCGAATGCCACCTCAAGGCATTTAGACTTGACCTCATGGGGAAGCGGGACCCCCAGGCTAGTGACAGCAGTTGGTGGGCCTCTTGGGAACCACAGCCTGAACATCTTGCTTGGTCCCAAGACTCCCACGGCAAGGGCCCCCGCACTCCTCCTCTGAATCCCCGGCACTCTGCACGCACCCTGCCAGCTTCTGGAAGCTGAGCTGTGATTAGGAAAGAGCCTGGATGCCAGTGCTCTCCCATCCCTGGAGGCCTTTAAAATGCAAATCAGAGCTGAGCCTTGAGGTGGCCCCACCTCTCCCAAGCATCTTGACTTGTTTTCAGAGCGGAGCCCTGGGCTGCTTTGTTCTGGTTCAGCGCTGCCAGAGAATGCCTGACCAGCAATCCAGCGCAAAGCCAGGCTGAATCCCAGCCACACTGAATCGGGATTAAAGGCTTCGCTCCATAGAGAGAAATTAAGCGTCATGAGCTGCGCAGTTCACAGCACCGCCGATAAGGAGGATCAGCTTCGAATAACACCAATCTCATTATGGGGCTGCTGAATGGCACAGGGTAATTCCCACTAATAAACTTCCTTTCTGTGCTGTAGGAAAACCTGGCGTGCCTTGGTGATGTTGGAGAAGCGTGCTCTGGCAGTAATAATACCACAGATAGCTAAAGTTTTGTGAGTGCTTTCTGTGTGTCAGTTGTGGTACTGAGAGCTTTAGTTATTTCATCAGATCTTCCTGATTAGGTAATTGACATTTTCATCCCCATTATGCAGATGATGAAACCAAGGCTCAGAGAACATAATCACTGGCTCAAAGTTACACAGCTCATAAACAAGCATCCAGTAGCATTTGAGCTTTTACTTGGTGCCAGGCCTTGTTCTAAGACTTTTACTTATATTCATTCATTTAATTCTCAGAACAACCCCCGGAATTAAGTGCCCATAACAGCTCCACTTCATAGCTGATGAAACTGAGGCACAAATTGGTTAACTAACTTGTCCAAGGCTATGCAGTCACAGTGGCAGGCTATGGATAGGATTCCATCTCTCATACTGTCAGCATCCACCCTGTGCAGCCTTGGGTAGACCTGATAGAAGATTAGCAGAGATCAGAGAGAGATCCGAGATGGCTGATCACTAGCAGCTCGGGATTGTAGCTCCCAGTGAAAACGCAGAGAATGAGAGGACACCACACTTTCAGATGAATTTTTGTTGCTCACGGACCAGGAGATTCCCAGCGGAGGAGCCCCATGGGTCACCAGCGCGACTCTTGTGGCCAGTGTGGCAGTTTGGCCGGCGCTTCGGTGAGGCGGTTCTTGGTGCAGAGTAAACAGGACTGGGTCCCCTTTTGGCCGATGTTTGGAGCTCTGGGAAGGCAGAGTCGCCTGTTCAGCTGATTGAAGGACGGACTCAAGAAGGAAGCCAGACCCAAGATTCCCGGGCAGAAAAGCACCATCAATCTTAATGCTGCTGTTTTAGCTGGTGCAGTGGGTTGCTCAGATTCCGGCGCTGGGAATCAACAAATTGGACGTCCACTCAGAAACCTAATTAGAGAGTTGGTAATTACAAAGACGACAGATGGATAAACTTATAATGAAGGGAAGAAACCAGCCTAAAAAGGCTGAGAATACCCAAAATCAGAATGCCTCTCCCTCTACAGGGGATCACAGTTCCTCATCAGCAACGGAACAAGTCCTGATGGAGAACGAGTGCATTCCATTAACAGAAGTAGGCTTCAGAAGGTGGATGAAAAGAAACTTCTGGGAGTTAAAAGAACTTATTCTAACCCAATGCAAAGAAACTAAGAACTTTGAAAAAAGGTTTGACGAAATGCTAATGAGAATAGACAATTTAGAGAGGAATATACGTGAATTAACGGAATTGAAAAACACGAGAACTTTGCGAAGTATGCACAAGTTTTAACAGCCAAATGGATCAAGCAGAAGAAAAGATATCAGAGGTTGAAGACTAACTTAATGAAATAAAACGAGAAGACAAGATTAGAGAAAACAGGATAAAAAGGAATGAGCAAAGTCTCCAAGAAATATAGGACTATGTGAAAAGACCTAATCTACGTTTGATAGGTGTACCTGAATGCGACGGAGAGAATGAATCCAAGCCGGAAAATACTCTTCAGGATATTATTCAGGAAAACTTTCCCAACCTAGCAAGACAGGACAATATTCAACTCCAGGTAATACAGAGAACACCACAAAGATATTCCTCAAGAAGAGCAACCCAAGGCACATAATCGTTAGATTCACCATGGTTGAAATGAAGAAGAAAATACTAAGGGTAGCCAGAGAGAAAGGTCGGGTTACCCACAAAGGGAAGCTGACTCATAGCAGGTCTCACAGCAGGTCTATCAGACTCACAGCAGGTCTCTCAGCAGAAACCCTACAAGCTAGAAGAGTGGGGGCCAATATTCAACATCTTAAAAGAACTTTCAACCCAGAATTTCATATCTGGCCAAACTAAGCTTCACAAGAGAAGGAAAAATAAAATCCTTTGTGAACAAGCAGGTACTCAGAGATTTCATCACCACCAGGCCTGCTTTACAAGAGCTTCTGAAAGAAGCATTCCACATGGAAAGGAACAACCAGTATTAGCCTTTCCAAAAACATACCAAAAAGTAAAGAGCATCAACATAATGAAGAATTTTTATCAACTAATGGGCAAAACAGCCAGCTAACATCAAATGGCAGTAATAAACTCACATATATTATTATTAATCCTAAATTTAAATCGACTAAATCCCCCAGTCAAAAGACACAGCCAAAACCCATCGGTATGCTGCATCCAGACCCATCTCACATGCAAGGATACACAAAACAAAGGGATGGAGAAAGATTTACCAACCAAGTGGAGAGCAAAAATAAATAAATAAATAAAAAGCAGGAGTTGCAATTCTCATCTCTGATAAAATAGATTTTAAAGCAACAAAGGTCAAAAGAGGCAAAGAAGGTCATTACATAACAATAAAAGGATCAATGCAACAAGAAGAGCTAATGATCCTAAATATATATACACCCAATACAGGAGCACCCAGATGCATAAAGCAAGTTCTTAATAACCTAAAAAGAGCCTTAGACTCCCACACAATAATAGTGGGAGACTTCAACATCAATATTAGATCAACGACACAGAAAATTAACAAGGATATCCAGGACTTGAACTCAGATCCAGAACAAGTAAGCTTAATAAACATTTATAGAACTCTCCACTTTAAATACACAAAATAAACACTCTTATCAGTACCACATCACACCTACTCACAGGTTTAAATGAAATATTGGTTGGCTACTTGTTTGTTATTTTCTTCCCTCATTTTTTCCTGTCT